CCTTCTGCCTCAGCCTTCCAAGTAGCTGGAACTACAGGCGCGCACTACCACGCCCGGCTGATTTTTTTTTATTTATTGTAGAGATGAGGTCTCGCCAAATTGCCCAAGCGGGTCTCAAACCCACGTTTACCTTGCATGCTTCCTGGCCTTCTACCACCCCTCCTGGGGCTGGCCCGTCTCCCCGAATTCTGGCTGATTCTCCTGGATCCCCTTCTCCGGCCCGACAACTTGACTAGGTACAGCTGATTTTCTGCCTCAGGTAGAAGAGATCCGAGGCTGCATTGAGAAACTGTCGGAGGACGTGGAACAGGTGAAAAAACAGCATAGTGCCATTCTGGCCGCCCCCAACCCAGACGAGAGTGAGTGCTGCTGCTGGGTGGCTGTGGGGTGGGGGGAGGAGGGGTCTGGTGTCCCACCTAGACCTCTCACTCACCTTTGCCTTCCCTTCAGAGACCAAACAGGAGCTGGAGGACCTCACTGCAGACATCAAGAAGACGGCCAACAAGGTCCGGTCCAAGTTGAAAGGTGAGGAGTGCAATCCCTTAGCTAGAGAGGAAAAGAACTCTGCTCTCCCTGGGCAAAGCAGGCCTTTCTCTAAGGAATGTTTACAGACTTCCAGGAACCAGACACTTAAACAGTGGGAAGGCACACAACCCCAGGTATCCCCCCTTGATCCAGATTCTTTGGAGAAAGATACGTGACGGGGAAATGAGGGTTTTGGTCCAAATTGCACCTGAGCACTGCTGATTCCATCAGCATGAAAGTCCACTAGAAAAATATAAGCCGGGCTCGGTGGCTCAGCCTGTAATCCCACGCCTTTGGGAGGCTGAGGTGAGTGGATTGCCTGAGTCCGCGGGTTCGAGACCTGCCTGGGCAGCGAGACCTCCTCTCTACAATGAATCAAAAATCAGCTGGGCATGGTAGCGTGCACCTGTAATTCCGGCTACTTGGAAGGCTGAGACGGAAGGATCGCCGGAGCCCAGCAGGTCGAGGCTGCGGTGGCCGGGAGCGGCCACTGCACTCCAGTCTGGGCGACAGAATGAGACTCCAACTCAAAAAAAGAAAAAGAAAAAGAAAAATATAGTCCTCCAAGTGGCTTTGGTTTCATTGAGTCCTCATTTCTCCTGAACAGGCACTCAGCATAGCGCTGAGCACCCAGTAGGTGGGCCCAGCAAATGCGTCGGAATCGGTATCCTTGGCTCAGGACAGATTGGACTGTGTGGCTGACATCAGGGGCTGGCAAGCTTTCAACAGGCACTTGCCAAATGCTCATGTATTCACTCTAATTTAAGGACTTGGGTGCTGGTAATAACCACCTTCCCCCAAAGCATTGTGGGTTGGGAACCTCCTTGTCTGCTGGTGCCAGGAGAATAACAGTGTTACCGTGATGCTAATTTGTACACACATGGTAATTCAACATCAGGAAACATTTGCCAAGCACGTCCAGTGTCCAAAGCACATTGCTAGGCTTTGGGGGAAGAGGAGCCATATCAGGTGCCTGGCCCCGAGAGCACTGACCTTGGTCCAGGGAGATGAGGACAGGAAGTCCATGCCCTCCTGGGCTCAAGGGGAGGCCATGTGTGAGCCTCTGATGCTGATTTGTAAAAACAAGCCCTTTGTACTCAAGAGAGTAAGCTGGAATGGAAAATGCCCTAAACTGCGTGCACATTAAGTGCACGTCCAGGCTGGAGGTGTCCAACCTCCTCTGTCAACTCACTCAGGACGAGTCCCCTACCCTGTTTTCTCATCAGTACAACAAGAAAAATGGAAGCAATTTCAAAACTGGCTCTTTTGGGAGAGGGCAGCACAATCTTTTTTTTTTTTTCCAAATGAAATCTTACAAAGAGTCCCGATATCTAAAACATAAAAGTCAGGTCGCTCTGGCTGAACTGAAGTTGGGAGGCCCTACCTGTCTCCTCTTCATTCCCTGCAGCAGCCCCTGAGGTTCCTTCTCAGAAACAAGGTTCCTGCTGGCACACAATTGGAAAATCCCTGAGCTCAATGGTTTCTTTGGGGCCTCTGAATTCTGACCTTAAATACTCTCTATAAGACCCTGAGATGCCAGGCACAGTTGGCGAAAGCCTATAATCCCAGCACTTTGGGAGGCCGAGACGAGAGGACTGCCTGAGCACAGGGGTTTGAGACCAGCCTGGGCAACTTAGTGAGACCTCGTCTCTACAATATATCAAAAAATTAGCCTGGCGTGGTAGCACACGCCTGTAGTTCTTGCTACTTGGAAGGCTGAGGCAGAAGGATCGCCTGAGTCCAGCAGGTCAACACTGGGGTGTCTGTGCGCATGCCACTGCACTCCAGCCTGGGTGACAGAGTGAGACTCTGACTCAAAAAAAAAAAAAAAAAAAAACCCTGAGAAGGGCCCTGAGGGTGAAGGGTTTTGGAATAGATCAACAAATGAACTGTGAAAAGGGACTGTGGTTTAGAGAAGCTGAATCTTCCAGACCTCCAGGGAGAAGATCGTCTTCTTTTCCATCCTCTTCCAGCTGGTAGCATGAGCTCAGGCTTTGGGTGTGACCTTGAGTGAGTTGATTCACCCATTTGAACCTTGGTTTCCAGCCTGAAACATGAGCTGATATCACTGAACTCCCAGGATTCTTGTCAAAAGTCAATGAGATCCTGTAAAAGACCCCTCCCTCCAGACCTGGTTCCAGTCCCAAGTCTGACAGTGGGGCCCCAGTCTGGGCCAGCAGATCCGCTATCCCTGGGTGTGTGTTGCTGTGCTTTTCCCGCATTAGCTGGGCCAGAGCTGTCACTCAGTCACTGTACCCGCCATTGCTGGCAGGGGAGCCCTGGGGTACCATCCAGTTCCATACCTCCCCCACTGCCAGGAGAACAGAGAAGTGATGTTCTCAGGAATGGCCGGGAGGCCCTGCAAGGTCTGCAAGCACCTGGTGATTCATCCCTACTGCATTTTCTGATCTTACCAAGGTAGATCTTATCACAAGCTCTTTTCAAGAAAATCTGGATGATATTGTCAGGAATGCATGATCAAGCAGCAGGAATCTCAGTTAATCTGTGCACTTTTCCAGAACATCTTTTTTTTTGAGTTGGAGTCTCACTCTGTTCACCCAGACTGGAATGCGGGTGGCCACTCCTGGCCATCGCAGCCTCGACCTGCTGGGCTCCGGCGATCCTTCCGCCTCAGCCTTCCAAGTAGCTGGAACTACAGGCGCGCGCTACCACACCCGGCTAATTTTTGATTTATTGTAGAGATGAGAGCTCGCCAAGTTGCCCAGGCAGGTATCGAACCTGCGGGCTCAGGCAATCCACTCACCTCAGCCTCCCAACGGTGCGGGATTACAGGCTGAGCCACCCAGCCGGCTCAGAACATCTTTTAGGAGCAGGAATTCCCAGGACAGGGATCATCTTAAAGGGCAGGGAGAGGGTTGTATTCTCCCTTGGAGCATTCATCTGTTTGCTCAGGAATTCTCCAAGGAAAGGGTGGCCACTAGAACCTGGCCCACCTGGAAGTGCCCACCTTCCAGCAGAAAAATCACGGGATTTAAGGGTGTCTGTCCCTTATCCAGGGGCTGTAGGAAGAGGAGAGTTCCCCACATACAGGGGCCTCACCAGGGGACTGGGCCCCCACCCCCTCATGGAACTGGGTGGAAGTTACAGCAGGTGGGACTTTCCAAGACCCAGTTCGTCCGCCAGGACAAATAGCCCCCTTCTGTCTGGTGAAAGTCTGACCCTCAGTCTCCTGCCTTAAGACCCCCCCTCAAACGTCTTTTTATCTGCTGCCCTCGTACCCCCTCGCCCTGGAGCACTACTGACCGCACTCGTCATGGGCATGCCATCTCTTCTCAGACCTCGGGTCCGCGGGGAGGGGGGCGTGTTGACCTTCCGAACACCCCGGCCCCCACCCCACACTCCTTGGGCTTCCCGCCCGTCACTGCACCCTCTCTCCCGCAGCGATCGAGCAAAGCATCGAACAGGAGGAGGGGCTGAACCGTTCCTCCGCGGACCTGCGCATCCGCAAGACCCAGGTAGGCGGCGGCGGCCCGGCGGGGGCGGGATCTGGACCCAGCTCGGGTGTAGCCTTGGCGGGAGCACTGAGCGAATTGGAAGTGGGCGGGCCAGAGCCCAGCTGCGGGGCGGGGCCGAGGCGGGGCGGAGGCGGGGCCATAGGAGAGGCCGGAGCCGCGCCCCATCTCCGCGCCCTGGCTTGGTCTCCAGCCTGCCCTGGACTGGGATGGGGCGCGCGAGTGGCGGGGCGGGTAGGGAACTGTGAACTTGTAGGGATCTGGGATCGCAGCCCGAGCCGAAGAAGGGGCAGTAAACGGATTCAGCCCGTCCTTACCCATTCCACTCATGCCCTGCCCCTTCACCGGCCTGGGTCTCTGCTCCCTGATTCCCTGACATGTCTGTCCTCCCACCCCCACCCCAGCACTCCACACTCTCCCGGAAGTTCGTGGAGGTAATGACCGAATATAACGCTACCCAGTCCAAGTACCGGGACCGCTGCAAGGACCGGATCCAG